CTCTTGTCGGCGAAGCTCTTGCCACTCACTACGATTTTCAGCAAGTCTCTTCACCTCTTGATACGACACGACACCAACTCCTTCCTTGATCTGCCTGATGTAACTACGTCTCGGTCTCCCTCTTCCTCTCCTTCCTTCTATCTTACCTTCTATTATAAAGTTCATAAGTTCGTCGTGTCGTATCAAGTGTCCTCCCCTTCTGTCCTCAATAGTTCTAATAATTTGTCTTTTTTCCTTAACCCTAAGCAGGACCACATTTCAAAAGCTCTAAGTTTATCCATTTCCTTCCGAGTTAACGTCCACGTCTCACATCCATACATAACTATACTCCAGATATAGGTTTAGTCATTTAGTCAAGAACAATTCATTCCCTGTAACTATAAATATATACCTTTAAAATTAATGTGCATTAATATTGTATTGTATTTCATGTTTGTTATATGTATTATAATGCAATATGCTGTTGGTGTTCCTTTTAATAAATAAATATATAAGGAGATAATATAGTACTACACTAGAAATTAGAGAACGCAGAGACATATGTAATGTCAGAGTCCTCAGAAATAACAATATATAAGCAGTAACGTGGGCATCTCAGTATATTCTAGGATACTGATCATGTTTATAAGCGATAGTTACCATATTCCATCAGATCTTTAATTCAAATTCAAAATGTCTGTATACAAATAAACTTTTTTACAAGCACTTTTAAGTCATTCTTTTTTAAACTACTACAGGATTCGGAAAGTTGTTATCTGTTGAGAACAGCGCGCAAGAAACTCAACAGTTACTCTTTTAAATCTCTGTTAACATTATATGTAATTATTTAAATGTACTATGTCTAAAATGAAAGCCCGTGCATGATCGACTAACACCATGCACATTTGTTATTCAAGTATTCGTTTAGTGTGTTCAATAAGTGTTTTTAAAAACAGTGTTTTAAACTAATTAAAAGGTAGATCCAAAATATCCTTTGGTATCTTATATTATTTAATGCCTATTCCCATAAAATATCTATTCAAATTTTTCTAAACGATCCTCCGGAATAACAAGTTTGTACTTGAATCTAGTGTTAAGATTATTCAGACCGCTGTTTTTAAAAAAAACAGCTAAAGATTCATGCGTATATACAAAATTTTACTTTCTATGTACAATGAGAAAAGAGCAAAGTATTACAATATGTTAAAAATGAGTCAAAGGATGCTTATTAACTTTAATATTTCCCTTTCGAACGTGTTTATACACAGTTTTTAATACGTGTACGTCTTTACTTTTATGTAACAGCGTTATAGCTACATTGTTCTATTAACCACTGGCCAACGCCGCACATCCGACCATTTAATTAATTTTCCTTTTCTTAGCAGCAACATTTTAAAATTTCTGAACGTATATCTCTGTATTGATAATATTTACGATGCTATTGTTCACGAAATTTATTAGAATTTCACAAATAATTTGGTAATAAATTCATGCAATTATTGTATGTAGCTTTAAATGGCTAACAAGATCCATTTGATGGAAAGTGGTAACCGTCACCTATAGATATGAGCAGTACTATGGACATAATAGAGTATACTACGTAGTTCGCCCATGATACTTTCCATGTGTTGCCATTCCTGAGGACTAAGGTGTTATTCCTCTGTACCCTGTAAATTCGCTGCCATATCCCACCCTTAAAACTGAAACACAGCCATGCAAACACAACTGCTTCACGTTAGAAACACGAATAGGACAGAGGTATCCAAGCAAACGACTCATGTACAAAGTCTCCCTCTGGTAAAATGGTAATGGGTACGAATATTAATTAAAAAGGCAAACTTTAATTTACTAATACATAGTTTATTTTTAATATTAATACCTGTTTTGTTGGACAACTATTTAATTACAACTTTGCTCTCGTAACAGGCGTAAACAGTGGTCCTTCTCTATTCCAAATACTAGTGCGTTGAGCTTGTGATAAACACGGATTCACATTACTTGGTGTTAGTAACTAATATGTCCTGTGAATAACATGATTGATTCGGTACCATTACTTATCATCCAACCAACCAATCATTTATTAAATCTAAAAAAACTATACCAATGTCAAATACCTCAAGAGATTGTTATACCATATTATTGTTTATTTGTTAATTAGCATGCTGTGTTTCCTTTAAAATGATTGTACACTAAGTATAAATAGACAGTAATTTTAATATTAAATCTTATCAGTGTAACAATTGTTGGGAGACCAAATAGAGATTAAATATAATTACTGAATTAGTAATTATTGATCAGAACATGTTTGTTGCGAATTCGGGTCACACTTATTCGCCAGTTAATCATTTTCAACGACCTGTAATTGTAACTATCTAAAACTTCTAGTTAATTTCACAAAGGAGTCGAACAAGTTTCGAGCGTATCTTTGAATTCTCAGAAGATAGCCAATCCACAAAGGGTACAAATCCGTACCTCCATATTATCTGAACAACTCTTCAGTGTACTACAAACAATCATAGCAAGGTAGCCGTCAGGGACCGTACTTGACTTGGACAGTTCGATCCTTTACTGTACTATAACTAACGATAACCAAGTAAGCTGACCTCTCGCCACGTATTGCAGTGCCCCGCCGTGTGTGTGTTTTGTTGTGGGTGCGCGCGACGGGGTAGATCAAGTTGGTCCGGTTCAAATTTATATAACGCCGCCGTATGTAAGGATCCACTGGATTTTCCCTTTTCGCTTTTCACTCAATAATTCCAACAAAAGATATCCTCAAACGGACGCGGCTGCCTCACAGCTGAGTGCGGTTGTTAAAATTTTCTATGTAATTTGTATACGTCTCGTGACATAACACAAAATGTGTCCTCGTGGGGCCCGATTGAATCACAATTGTTTCAGTGTAATTTACTAAACGTACGACGGTGGCGTTAGTTGGAAATGAAACCTTATTATGTGGCACACTGGGATTGATGATGTAAACTCGCTAAATAACTGTATGAACCTTTCGAATTACGAATAAAGACACTTCTTCTTATATTTAATGAACATTGAACGTCGACGCGTTTGACCCTTTTGTTGTTGTTTTTTTTTTTACTTTTGTAATCCACGCGTACGAAATAATGGGTAAAAAAATATTTTATGAATTGTACGAAAATCGAACTTGCGACTATTGGAAAGTAAGGCTGCGTCAAACATCTAAACCACTAACATTTTTAAAAATAAAACTAACATATTTAGCTATTGATTCATAACAGTATATACAGGGTGGAAAGAATAGGTTGGCCAAAACAAAAACAGTTGATTCAGATGAATGGCTTGAAGCAGATGGCAGAATATTTGCCCATCGGAAATGCACCAAAGCCACATAATTAACGATATTAGTTTTGTCGCCGCGCAATGTATTTGAAATTTTACGTTCACACGATGCGTGATATCTATAAGGCGCGCTGAATAGTGCGTCTTCGTAGGTAGTTTTCGTACGCTTGTGACGTTGACCTTACACAGCTGATTCCGCGTGTCGCAGTAAGATTTTAATACGTGTATGACACTGCTGTTTTTTAGGTGTTTCATAGTATTTAACTGTAAATTATTACTATTTTTTTATACATGATTTTTATAAAAAAAAAGGAAAGATTTTTTAAATTTTCCAGAAAGAATTTCCACTGGTTTTAGTTCACAATAATGGTCTGAATTCACTGTTACAGTTCTCGCCAACGTGTCCCTTACACTCTATATAAGTACTCCGGCACTAGGTTTATATAAATCCCAGCTTCCTCTCGGTAGTCGCATGTTCTAGTCACTAATTAGTGAGGGATACTTTGTACAAAAGCCCTTTGCTTAGGCACCTTTATCACATTGTGTTTCTACTGCCAATCAGCTGTAATTACATGTCTGTGTTTTAGTTTGAAGGATGGATGGGACATAACAATGAATTACTAGTTGAAGTGGTTTAGGTTTCTTAATTAGGGTGAAATCCGACAGATATTATACGTCATAGAGTATTATATGATTTACATTTATTTAGGCCCGGTTATCTCTTTTTATTAACCGATTTGAAAAAAATTTGGTTCTGAATTTGATTGAATTATTTATGTTTGTTACCTCATAACACAGTCAGTTAGGGGGGAAAGGGATTGTTAGTAATAGAGACTGAGAATCCTATTGCTAACAATATACCCAACCAGGTCGACCTCCTCGCGGTTCTCCCTGGAAACTATCATGGTTAATTCCTGATGAATTCATCAGGATGGGCTAATTGGCCTGTTTTCATTCTCAACTATCACCCTTCACTGGTGCTCCGCCAGTGTATTCCGTTAGCGCAAGAGGGGTTACCATGCCATTTCCACCCATCAAAAAAAACACCGTCAGTTACAAATCGATTTGGAATGTTCTTTTTTCATCTAAATGAATATATTACAGATTAGTTTTAGATAAATTTATCAAAATTTCTTTATTAGTTCTATTTTTAAGTTAAAATAACTGGATTTGCCATAATTGAAGTTGGTCTCTTTTGTGGCACACTGTTTTAAATTATCATATGGACGACAATTGTTTATTTACCATTTTATGTCGTATAAAAAAAAAGTTGAATAATTATTCATACTGCCCGCCTTCGAAAGGGAGTTTACACCCATCATGGATGGTCGCATACAAAGCGATTTCACAGATGCGTCCTTCCACGAACGTTCAGGTTATGTAATGAGTTCCCTGTCAAGATTTCCCCAAGAGGCTACAACATGGGGCTACTCGAAAAAGGAATAGAGGTTTTTACAGGTCGACAACACGCGCGTAATGTGTGCGCTCTGGTATTGCAGGCGTTCATAGTATTTTTTTTTAACGAGGGGAAAATCTTCAGAAAGAGACCCACCGCCAGCGGGATGGCGATGGGTAAAGACGTTCATAGTCTATGACAACCGCATAGCGGTGGGCTATTTGTTTGCCTTAGTGGTTTAAAAAAGTCATAAATGTATTTTTTTTTTACAGTAAACTATATTTAATTCGTATGTTTTCATTGTTCACAGATAAGGAATTTCCCGTACTCACTCAGTCATCTTCATTTAGGTAAGTACTAGTATTAATAAAAAATAGATTTTTTTTTATACCACTGAGGTGGCAAACAAGCATACGGCCCACCTGATGGTAAGCGGTTACCGTAGCCTATGAACGCTTGCAATACCAGAGGTATTACGCGTTGCCGACCCTGAAGAAACCTCTTTACCCCCCTTTTGAAGAACCCCATGCTGTAGTCTCTTGGGAAAACCTCGGCAGGGAGCTCATTCCATAAGCTGAGTGTTCGTGGGATCTGTACAATATTTTAATTTTTTATACTATAATGCTTATGAACAAGCATATCTTGTATTCATGTTTGGCTATATTATGCTATTAAAACATCTCATAATAAATGCTTATCATATTTGAGAGAGAATTTAAGGGGTTCCGCAATTTCCGTGCGGATAATACGAAATGAAAATGGCCGATGCAAGAATTTATGTATACAAAGGGCGTAGATATTCGTCCTATTTACTTATACATAATTAATCAGAGATGCCATGAAAATTTTAATATATATATATATATATATATATATATATATATATATATATATATATATAATACGTTTATATATATAATTATTTATTAAATCAACTTCAACCGTAAAAAAATATAATAAACATAAAAAGTCCAACCGAATTGAGAACCTCCATATTTTTGAAGTCGGCAAAAAAAGTAAATTATTTATTTTTAGAAATCGCTTACATGAAAACGTCATAAATATATAAAATTAACGTATATTGAAGTGTTGAAGTATGTGAACAGGATATAGTAGTTAAAATAGATAAGTCTTACTAAAAAAATATATGTACCATAGATATAGATTAAGAAAAAGTCTGCTGCTGATTTTCACCACCGTACAACCCGCCACAAACTAAAGTTTCATCCCAATCATCTGGACGAGTGGCGTGACTTCCACCGTGCGTTTTTCAAGGCACTATCTTCCACGCACAACCATTCTTTGGAATCAACTTCCAGCAGCAGTATTTCCGAACCGATACGACAGCATAACCTTCAAGAAAAGAGTATATTCCTTTTTAAAAGGCCGGCAGCACACCTGCAATGCCGCTGGTGTTGTGGGTGATCATGGGCGGCGGTAGTCACTTACCATCAGGTGAGCCGCATGCTCGTTTGCCCCCTGTGTTGTAAAAAAAAAAAAAAAAAGCGTATATTTTTTTTGTAAATGCAATACCGCCAAAAAAACAAGGGTACACCTTGTTCTCTTCAAATCGCAAATAGTCAGGAACCGTTATCGCAAAATTTAATATTTAACAACTAATTAACGCATTGACGTGTGAGTGTACCAAGGGGGGGGGGAGGGATAGTTGGCAATGGAGTTTGACAGCCCTATTGCTAGTAATATGCCCTATTAGATCGACCTTCACACTGTTTCCCTTGGAAACCATCTTAAACAATCTTCTTGAATTTATCACGATGGGCTAACTGACCGGCTTCGTCTTCACCTATCATCCTTCACTGGTGCCCCGCCGGTGTATACCGATAGCGGTGGGGTTACCATTACATTATCACTAATTAAAAAAAAGAGTGTATAAACTCACACGTGTGTCTCACTGACGCTTGTTACTTGCAAGCCCTGACCAAATAGGACGCGAATTGGACGCGAACCGTCAGCGCACTAAAGTTGCTTTTATTATCGAATTCAATTCTACCTGGACATTTTTTCTTATCGTCTTACCTTATGAATAACATGGGGAGTACACAACAAGGAAAGTGGTGAGCCAAGGAGTTGCGCAGTAAACCGATATACGTGCCCGAGCTCGCAATCATCCGGATCGCCATAAATCCGAATGGCTTTGTTTGCTCTTACCCAGCTGCAGCAATTTGTTTTAAACAAGTTTATTTAGCTAAAAAAGTGACTTCAATCTACTCTATTATAATATAGCAGGGTGGTTTGTTTGTTTGTTTGTTTGCTTGAATGTGTTAATTTTGAATTCGTGTCTACACCAAAGAAATAAGCCTCAAGAAAAGTGCTATTAAATTCTTTCTGCATTTGAGGTTTGTTTGATTAATTGAAGATTGAACTATCACGACTTGAGTACGAGCGAGGAGAAGCGAGAAGTCACAGGATACAGCTTGTAGTGAATCGATAAATGACGAAATATTTTGTAGTCAATTTATATCTTAGTTTTTTTTTTCAGTTTGTTAACTCTTCGCGGCTTTACAGCTCAATAGATTTTTCTGAAATATGGTGTTACATGTATATTATATATTTAAAACTAGTCGTATATCTAAGCTTTTTTTATACAACTTAGAATGGCAAACAAGCTGACGGCCCACCTGATGGAAAGTGGTAACCGTCGCCTATAGACATGAGCAGTACCATGGACATAACATAGTATACTGTTTCGCCCATGATATCCCCCCATGCGTTGCCATTCCTGAGGACTCAGGTGTTATTCTTCTGTACCCAGTTTTACGCCATATCCCACCCTACACACCGAAACACAGCCATACAAACACAACTGCTTCACGGTTGAAACACGAATGGTGTGCTGTGGTTAGCACATTTCAATCAGTACATAAATTAAATCGATTTACTTGTTTTTGAGTTTATATTACAATCCATTCAATTGTGTGTAATGAACAAATTCAAAAACGATGACATAGTTACTAATTCTCTTTTAATTTAATCAAAATCAATGATACGAAGAAGAAACATTAAAAGTATACTATTAAAAGTTACACTATATAAATATAAAAATGTCTTAACAACTGATATATTTTGTTGAAAGCTAACAAACTTACGAAGACTCTTCTTAACTTTATGAATATACAAAAAGTGAAACATAAACATGAAAGAAATATAAATAAGTGCGGGCAAATCCCTTACGCACGGAGACTTATTAAAAAGGGATCTCTCCCACTCGATCCTTGTGAAACCGCGTTTACGGGGTATAGCTGTATCTGTTCAAAACAAGCAATATAATTCTATTAAAAAGTCGATTTATTAAGGATCTAAATTGATAATTTCTGCTAGATGAAAGGTTTATATTGTTTTTATCTTTGTGAACGTTTCACTTTCCTTGTTCCCACTGGCATGTCCAGTAGGTCGAGTAAGTCCCTTATTCTTAAAATCCCTCCTTATGCCTTCTCATGATATAGTGGATCATTTACGGTTCATGCGGCTAGACTATGGAACTCTCTTCCACTGCATATTCGCGCAAAGAGCATATTCTGTCCTCATAAACTTATTACGTCTATTGTATGTATATGCACATATTGTATATATGTAGATATTTCATATGTATGTATTATTATAAAAAGTAATCGTTAGACTTCTAGAATTATACATGAAAATGTATCGTACTACAATTATTATATTCGATTGTTATCTTGCAACCCTATTGCGACATATAAAATTGCGATCAAATAACAGGGGTTGATCGTAAAAGCGTGAAAATTTGAATCTGTATGTATTTTTCAATGCTAAATCATAATAAAATAAAAATTGTTAACAAAATAAAAAAAAATTAGGGGTGGATCACCCCTATAATTGAGGGGTATGAAAAATAGATGTAGGCCAATTCTCAGACCTACCCAATATGCACACAAAATTTCATAAAAATCGGTAAAGCATAAGCTGCTTTGTATTTAGATAAACGTATTTATTATTTCTTAATAGAAAATACACTGTTTCCTCTTCTAATTGTACGCACACTGTCCGCTGATAATTAATGCTCCTTTCTACTTAACGTTTGCTCGAAGAGCACTCTTACAGAGTTAAGCTCGACTGTTGTACAATTTTATTTAAAATAAATTATATGAATGTAATTTATTTGTGTACAATAAAGTATAAATAAATAAATAAATGTTTCTTTTTTGTTTATCAATCAGCGACTTTTTAGTCGATTGTATAGGTATTTGTCACTTTATCCAATCAGCTACACATGCATTAATGTACTCTAAAAATAAAATTGTTAGGCATTGTAAATTAACCTTGTATGAATCTTGTCATACAAAGATCGGCAACTTATGTTTTTCTTTTTTTTGTCTTACAGCCTTGGTCAAGTTCTTTTGAACTCATTTTTTATAATTCGAAATTTAATTTCTATTGCCAGTGTTATCAAGCTTTGTGGCCAGCCCATTGCCACTTCAGCTTGCTTATTCTTCGAGTTATGTCGGTCGTTTTAGTTCTTTGGCGGATCTCCTCATTTCGAAGTTCGAAGAAGAAGAAGTAACACATAGAATACTTAATATACGTATTCAAAGCCGTGAAAAACGGCCAGTATTAAACAAATAAAACAAGGAATAATGGAAAATAATGAGAATAGTACAAAGCCTCGACTGTAAAAATCCAATCGTACACATTCCGTCTCCGTGTAACAATAAATTTATTGTGCGCTATATGGAACTCGACCCATGCAACATGCTTGCTACATGTTTTATTACTCAATTTTGTACTTTATTACCTGACACAATCGTTCGAGTTTTGATTGCAAATAACATAATTTGATGTAGTGTAAACGCAATATCGAATTTCCGTTCCTCGAAACCTTGTTGTATCGAGCTGTGAAATTTTATGTCATAATAATAAAAAGTTTTCCTGTTGGAAAACAAAGAATACGTGTCATGTATTGTATTTGTTTCCTTGAATATGTTTACAATTGTGTAATATGGGCTTTGAAATGTTTTATCAAATAAGTACTTTAATAATATATAAGCTATTATAAAAAAGAATTTGAGGGAAAATCAATTTCAAATTTTTTACTAATAGGTAAGAAGGTTGGCCATGTGATACTGCCTTGGAATAGGCCACCCCTACCTTTACAGTGGATGTTGTAAGAGACGAATAAGGGAGCTTAATGGTGGAGGGATGGACAGCAGCATCCCTCTTAACATATCACCAAAGTCTAATGGCGGTTGTCAACCCGAGCAGTAAATTCTTTATATTATTCTCAATTTCGTATATAATATAGTATATATCATATATGTGTAAGTTTATTTGTTATTCATATATATATTTATTCGTTTATATATGTAATTTTAGT